GAAATAAGTCAATTTAACGATGTATATCGTTAAACAATGATATTTAACGATGTATATCGTTAAACAATGATATTTAATAATGTATATCGTTAAACAATGATATTTAACGATCTACATCATTAAACAATGATATTTAACAATCTACATCATTAAACAATAATATTTAACGATTTACATCGTTAAATAATATACATCAATAACTCTGATATATATTGATATATATCAAATATCTGTTTTGATATGCATCGACGACTCAGATATATATTGATATATAACTAATGATAAATATCGATATGCATCGATGACTCGGATATATATTGATATATAACTAACGATAAATATCGATACAAATCATCCCAAAAAATTTCCTGATATGGATTTATAGATCACATGATTATCGATGATATAATGAACAAACTTCATTTTTAAATTACACATACATGCACGAACATACACATTTTTCTTTATAAAATCTTTATTTCATGTTCTCTATGAGATGCTGATAGAGTTGTTATTTGTAAGATAATTATTATTGCATTACTCTATTTTTTCTTGTCTGTCTAGACCGTTTCACTGACTGAATTACTTGCAAAAAGAAATTGGGTTATACAATCTTGAATTAGTAGTTTTCATTTTTTTGCTACCAAGGTAGCAAATTGTATCCATCGATTAATAATTGGTGGTACAGGCTCACCAGATTTCAGCATTATGATTATATAATGATTATTGTTAACAAAAGCCATTGCAAGAGCTTTATTTCAGTTCAATGAATGATAATGTGGAAGAAAGATAAGATTTGTTTGTAGTGAGAAAAAGTGTAGTGATCTTTGATAGGTGTTTGCTATAACATTTTCCATTAATGGCATTCTTATCCAGTATTTGAACGTGCAAGGACCATCCATCCAAGAAATCTCTCTCATAATCGCTGTATAATCACCATTAACTAGAAATAATGATTGGTAGAATTGCTCCCTTTTATTCAATTCCTCCCACAATTCTTTTTTCACCTCTGATCATTCACTTTCATTTCTTCCTAAACACACAGCCAGTACTCTGTACCTACAATTGCCATCACCATCCACATTTATTATCTCTTTTATATATTTATACATATAAGTGGGTATTTGATCATGATATAAGAGTTATGGTGATTTTTGCAGACTTTTCATGAGTTTAGGCATTGATTTTTTTATATTTCTTTTTTTTGTGATGGTTTTATCTTGAAGTTCACTAAGAAGAGAATTTCACTTGGTGGATGTTGATCGTCCTTTAGGTGCGATACGCAATAATGCCTTTGGAATTACATTTTTTTTAGCAGCCAAGGCTTCGATTTTTTGCAAGAATATGACTTTTGATCCACAGTCATTTAGGGATTTGTATTTTTCTTCAAGCTTATATAAAGCCTTACTGATGGTTATGTCAGTTAATAATGATAATGAAGATAATAAGGGTACTGAATCATGCTTTAAAAGCCAGCGAAAATGTACAAGAGAAAGCGGAATGGATCCTGTCGACGGAATTATGTGGTGACATGGTAGCTTAAAATTCAATCTCAAGCTGTATTTACAAGTATCACTATTTGCATTATCATTATCTTCAGTCTTGCATATTTCTCTTTTTATTTGATTGATTGTCCATCTGGAAATTTTTCTAAGCAGCTGTTCAAATCTCTCAATGTTGTGTATGAATGGATCAACAGAAACAATATTCAAACCAAAAGCTCTATTCATTTGTAGTTGTTGCTGACGAAAGACACGATTGATGTGTGAGAATATCTGCTTTAAGCTGCTTGCTGTCTCTATTGCCTTCTTTAAACTGTTATGGTTTTCCTCCATCCACTGCATTGACCAGATCCCCATATGCGGATAATTTTTTGTATAAATATGCATCCAACCTTTTGCGTCTTTTTTCCATTCCTCGAGATAATTTTGAATATAATTAGGATCTCTACTTTTTATTACTGTTTGTTTCACCTCATTGAATGCTTTTTTGACTGTACTCATTTCCTCAGCATAAGTAACTTGTTGAACCAATGACAAAAATTTATCATAATCTTTATCAGAATTAAAAAACTTTCAGCATGCAATTCGTAAGTTTTGTGCAAGCATGTGCCAAATGCAGAGCATTTTTTTCGCTTTCGGAAAAATGCTGTTTGTCGCTTTTTGAAGAGCCTGATCTCTATTTGAAACAAATACTACTGGAGAGCAAAAGAAAGTGTCATAAATTGTTTCTTTCAAGGTATGTAGAAACTATTCGTATGTGTATTCCTGTTCGTTTGCTACCCATGCCATTGCAATTTGATATGTATTAAGAACTTTGGCATTGTCAATGTTGCTAACACCAACAGCGTTGATAAGAGGAAGCTTATATAAGTTTGTCTTGTACGTTGCATCCAATATAAGCACCTCTGAACATATAATCATTTGACGCATAGCTTCAATATGTGTAAAGAACAGGTTTTGCATATGATCATCTTTTGATAATGTATGGCAAACTATATACTGATGTTCCTCCAATATTTGCAGAAGCCGTACAGTGGTGTCGTAATTGGAACTTTTATTCAGAGCATTTCTAATTTGGCCACGTTCATTGATGACATCTTTTGAGTATTGTTACAGTAGTAACATAAAAATCGTTAATTTCAAAAATAATTGAAAAATACAAAATATTCAAAAATATTCATAT